TGCAATCAGAGGCAATGCCCCTTCGCGAAGAGATGAGTGAGCTCTCTTTGCTTGCTTACGGTCATGGTGTTGGGCCACGAGTGCTGCGATTGCTGGTCGAGCGGCTGATTGCTGTCACGGCTGATGAATCCATCTGCCATTCGCACCGCAGCTGCCTCGTCAACCACTTGGTCCTGCAAGACACCACTTGGTCCATCTATGCGTGTCCTGACCCAGAGGGGCGTGGGCAAGGGGTGGGGGTGGGGGGGATGCATTGGGGGCGCTGGAGAAGGGAGAGGAGCCGGTATGACAACCTGCTCAGTGGCTGCTGACGGCTGAGACTGCTGATTGCTGTCACCAGTGTGTGTTACGCCGTCGTGTCTCACTGCTATCGCCAACCCGACGGCGCTTGGAGGAGAGGCGGCAGCAGAAGACATGGGTCGCCCTGGCTGGTCGGTGAGGGGAATGGGCACGGAATGGGGGTGAGGTGGGTGGGTTGGGGGAGGGGGAGGGCGAGGAGGGGCGGCGGCCTCGAAAACGTGAATCGAAGACCATCACGAATCTCTTGTCGTGCTTGCCTGTCATCTTTCCTACCTGCTGGTATCGTCTTCTGAATGCACTGATCCATGTATCGCTGGCCTTGAAGCCACGGAAGCCAACGAAGCCACTGGTAACCAGCCGATCGGCGACCTCTAATGCTTTGGCCTTCATGTCCTTCGAGGGGATGCTCGTAGGGTCATCATGGCCTGCCATCCACTGACGCAACTCGTCCTCAATTTCCCGGTACCTGGGCTGCCTGTTGCGCTTCCTTTCCGGATCGACGAATTCCCTGCCGTCCTCCCGCTGCTGCTTGATGGCACGAAACCAGTTCTTGAATTTATTTTCACTGAGGTGCTTCTCCTGCGCAAATTGGGCCATCGAGATGGCCTCGCCGCCTTGCTTGCGCCTCTGAAATTCATCCACCAGCTGCAGCCGCTCGCCAATCGCCACCTCGCCAGCCCTCCCGATGCACACCTGAACGCGCACTCATACGTGGGCACGGCCGCAAATGGTGGCGCAGAACGGCGAGTGCATCTTCACCTGCTGTGGGGACGGCCGTGTCGCTCGGCTCAGGAGGGAAACGGCGGGAGGAGACGACGGCAGAGACGGCGGCGGCAAACGGACGGGGGGCAAGGGCGGCAAGGCTGTAGCCGCAACACAGGCTATGACTGTATGTCTTTTCATCGGTTGCTCCCTCACCTGGCAGCGACCATGAGTGCTCCACATCTGCATGATAACACAATGCCTTTTTCCGCCGCGTCTCTCTTGTGCGTCTATCCTGCTGCTCACTGTCATGCGAGTGTGCCGTCAGCCCACCAGCTGCCACATCGTCTGTTGCCCGTCCTGTCGGTATCTGCGGAACACAAACCCATGTCCAGGTGTGCACCAGATACGAAGGAGCTGCGTATGCGCACCTCACGATGTGGTTCACCGTGAAAGGCTGCAGCTGCTGCAGCCGTATCACCGTGAGCGACCTTTCAGAAAAGATGACATGCTCAGATCACCAATACAAGATCTTTACCTGCACGTACCTGTGTTTGATCATCATCATGATTGTCCTCGGCCGATGCGATGGCCCTCGTCCCGTCTGCAGGGAAGGTGTCCGGGAACTCAGGTGATGCGTGGGCTCGAACAGTGTGCTCACGCAGAGTGTGTCGGTTGTGTGGTGACTCACCGCCAGAGTAGCGATTCAAGAACCCCTCCAGCCAGCCGTCGCTCCCAGTGAAGCCAGCACACCTCTCCCTGACCCTCGCGTCGTCATGGTTCCCCTTCAGTCGACCCGCGACCTCTCTTGCTCTCTCCTTGATCTCCTTGTTGGGGGGAAAGGACGCAAGCCCACTCAGCCACTGTGCCACCTCCCTCTCAACATCTGGATACTTCGCTGTCCTGTTTCGTTCCCTCTCCATGTTGCTTGCCAGCAGGTCCGACGGATGAGAGGCGGACCACTTCTTCATTTGGTCATATGTGATGCCCTTCTCGGCCGCAAAAGCCTTCATCGTGATATCCTCCACCTTCGCACGTTGCTGGAACTCCAGCACGATCTGCACCCGTTCTCCAACCGTCCATCCTCTCTCTTCGTCCGAAGGATTGCCAAAAGCCGCGATGGCCTGCAAGCGGTAACAAAGACGAATGGGGAGAGCTGCATCTCCTTGGTCGATTTATTCATGCTTTACCTCCGGATGGGTAAGAGGAGGCAGCGAGTGGCTCCACCTGTGGATGGGTGGCAGCGCCGCAGTGCCACTGCCAAGACCGCAGGCGGGCGCAGGGGCGCGGGATGGTACGGGTGATTGGCGAGGGTTGGATGGACGGGTTGGCACCGTCGGCAGCCCAAAGTCGCTATCGTCAGCTGAGGGGAAGAAACAGACACTGTCAATCTTCGAGTGGATGCGAGCGGTGTCCCTTTGCTTCGGCGTGCATACGTGCATCAGATGAGCCAGCGGCCCTCATGCAGCCGCTGTCAGGGTGAGAGGGAAGTGATCGCAACTGTGGAGAATGAGTGAATAGGGAACAAACAAGCACTGCGGTATCTTCCCTCGTCCTCTCGCCTTCCTTGCCCCGTACCTACCCTTTTTGTGTGTTGTTCTGTAGCCGTGATGGGGTCACCATCGCGCGCAGATGAAGACGCAGGTCGGTCTTCGTCTGCTTCCATTGGCAGGCGGGACACGCAATAGATCCAGCACACTCTGTGACCTGCGACCAACAGACACACGTAAGAGCGAAAGCGTGCGAGGGTCAGGAACAACGTCAGGAAGCTTATTGACGGGCTAAGCAGCATCTAACCTGATAGACCTTCTCCTGATCAACCCATGAAAAGCACGAGTAATCCGATCATGGCATTCGAAAAGCACAAGTACACACAAGTACAGTACAGTCCCTGAGCACAAGTTATTGTCACAGCCACGAATGACGCTTCTAAGCTCGCAATCTCCGCGAGCTTAGCTTCCAAACGTTCCACCCCCGAAGCATCCGCCAGCAGAAAGGAAGCGCCAGAGGCCCTCGACATCAACACGGCTGTCATCAGCCACAGTCGATGAATGCATTGCCAAAGGCTTGTGCACTGCAATCAACTGATGCGTTTGGCCGTGTTCTTCACAAGGTGCGGTTCCGTTCGGGCGGCATGCTCGCTCGTCTCTGTGGGGCAGATATACGTCAATTGCATGAAGGACCTCAACTGGCAATTGCATGAAGGACCTCGACTGGCAACTGCTGGCTGCGCATTCATGTACCCCTCGTGCTTCGTCCTTCTTCGCTTGTGTGTTCGCGCCTGAACGCGACAGACGTACAGTACGTGTACGTACGACATAGATACACCCTTGTGAAGAGCGTGGGCGCCTGTGTTGTCTGTGACTTGCAGAGTCGTGGATGAGATCATGTCTCTAAGCGTCAAGTGACCAATCGACGTGTATGGCATGACGAACGTATGCAACAATGAAGTCCTAGCGTCGACTAACCAATCGACATATGCAACAATGAAGTCTTAGAGCCCACATTTGTCTGACAGCCTGACACCCTGTCTATCACACACACGCCCTCCTTATCACTCCATGATCTCCTCGCTCTCGCTCCCAGCAGCTGGTTGGTTCCTTCCCTTAGCTTGTGCTGCTTTGGCCAGCCCTATCCTCTTGTTGCCATAGTCGAAAACAGTGTAGTAGCGGCGCATGAAGGTGTCGCCCAAAATCCACAGAGGGCCGCGGGGAGGCGGGATCTGCACGACACACTCATGTCACATCGGTTTATCCGTCTGGTGGAGGCAGCTAACCTCGATGGACAGAAAGGCGAAGAGACACTTGTCAGGCAGGCCGATGTCCAGAATGTAATCCTCAGGGCGGACCACAAACGACCTGCCACCTGCAAACGGAGAGAGGAGAAAAAACACATAATGGAACAACGACGGCCTGATATGATTGCTCACTGATGATGAAAGTGATGTCCAGCAGATTCTGTGTCTCGTTGCACGGCACCAGATAGAGAGCGCCGTACCGAGATGGCGTCGCCGACAGAGCACCAGCCAGTATGCTGACCTGTCCACCGACAAACGAACAAGACCCACATACATGTCTTGCCGTCTATTTGTCGGACATACCGCGTCGAGAGGTCCGGCGAATACGGATGTGCCCGAGTCGACGATGGCCTTGTGCTCGCCCAGGAAGGGGTCAGTATCGATCAGCAGCGCATCCACACCGATCGTCTGCAGAGAATCAGAAGGGACAGATTGGCACAGGTTAGTGCAGGTGGCGACTCTCGCTTGTTTGTCACCGCACTGCATACCCAGTAGTCTTGTTGCAGTACAGGTGTCCAGGTCATGTCCCCCTCGTAATGGTCCTCATTCACACCTGCACGAAGGTGGCCGCCAATCATCAAGCACATGAGAGGCGGAGACTCATGGTAATCGCCTGCTGTGTCTCACCTCCTAACAGCAGCTCGCCGTCCATGCCGTCATGAGTGCCCAAGTAGAAGGCGAACACTGCACATATTGGCACACACAGCAGAAAGGTGTGCCACTGCGATTTCTTGTCTGCCGCCTTGGCTATCTACCTGGCTGTGTGACGAGCTTCTGTGCCACCATTATCGAGAAGGGCGGATCGATACCGTCCACCTGACCAACAGAAGAGTGCGCACGGGGATGGTACACTTGTGCAGATGTGTTGTGTGTGCTGACGGCCAGGGAGGGGAAGCCGAGCCCAAAGATGCCGTCGAAATGCCCGCGTGAGTAGGCCTGGCCCAGACCGCCCGCCTCTGTCACCCTGCACACACCGCACCAACGCCACGACCAAAACCAACAATGGATCCATGTGGGGAAATGGCGCATCTTGCTTGGATCGCACTCTGCGAAAGTGATGTTGGCGAGCGCAATCGACCCGAGACTGATATCGTCACGCGACAGGAAGCCTGTATGCAGTGTGCAGGGATCGGGTAGAGAGAGAGAAAGATTGTCCCCCGGTTGTCTTGTCTCATCGCTTTGATCTCTCTCTCTCTCTCTCTCACTCACCAAAGCATGGCCCGCTGCCATATTGAATGTGGAAGGTGCGGCCGTCAGAGGAGTATGTCTCTGACGCATTGTGGTCATACACAACGTGCCTGCACTCACACACACGCACAAGACAGTTAGGTGCAGAGACAAAGAGAGAGAGGGAGAGGGAGAGGGAGAGGCAGACAGACAGACAGACAGACAGACAGCACGCAGGGTGGTCTTACCCGTTGCACGACCGTCGACACAGCTTGGATGGCACCCAGAGGTTGCTCGAGCCAGTGTCGAAGATCACGCGGAACGTCGTCCTCTCACTCCCCACCTCAACCTCACCGATATACTGCGCATTGGAGTAATCCTTGATGATCAAATCGGCCGCTCGGCTGTCGGACAGTTGCCGCCGCAGACCGTAATGAGACACACCATGAGGCGGTCCCACGTGTGGTGGCCGGTGCGGGCGCGGTCCGACGGGCCTCGGTCGCGGCGGGAAGGCGGCACGATGAGAGGGCCGGATGGTGATTGGGCGGGACGGCCGGACAGGGTGAAAGGGACGAGCCGGCTTGATCGGCCGGGGCCGGACGCGGTGAGCTGGGCCAAGGGTGGAGGGAAGCGCCTGCCCGGACGGCTTGGTGCCTTTCTTATGCAGAGCGATTCGAAAGACGCCATCCTGCGGCTGTTGTGTTGTGTCCGACTTGGCCTTTTGCTGCACTGGTGGCCCAGGGTTGAGGGTCTCCATGGGTGCGATGTGGTCATCGGGGGCGTTCCACGCGTGCCATTCGATGCAGATGACTGCGAGGAAGAGCAGGCCGGTGAGGGAGGCGGCGACGACGCGCTGCCACACCTGCATGCACGCCGCAGACACGGACCACGATTATGGTGCATGATTCTCCTCTGGCAGTGGCCACCGCTGGATCGTATGCTCTTACCGGCAACGCAGTGTGGTCCTTCTTGTCGGCAATCATCGGCATGCAGACTGGGGGCAAGATGGGGGCCGGAAGGGAGGCGACGTCCCTGGCCGAAACGATCAACATTCACGCAAATCCAGGTCTGCATGCCCTTGACAGTGCGGCTGATCAATATGTATCCACCACGTCCATCCATCCGAGCACGTCTGCGTGTGAACGCAGTAATTACAGGTCTTGTCACATCTTGACTATACAATGACAACACAGGCATGGAACACCGTATCAGGTAGGCAGGAATGATGCGATCCACGCAGCGCCACACACAAGTGCATCCTTCCCATGCAGCGAGTGAATGAATGAATGAATGAATGGCTAATTGAACACGATGATGAGGGTGGCGCCCGCCGCAATCAGCAGTGCCGTGCCGATCTGACTCAACACCGTCCTGCACACACACATTACACATATTTTCACCTCCCCCCCCACCCACCCACCCACCTGTCGACCGTCAGATACGATGGATGGGCCTGATGCAGCGTTTCCGGCCGATGCTTCTGAAGACACAACAGGTACTCAGGCGCTCACCAGCAAATCAAGCAGCGGAAGCAGAGCAGGCCGCTTACCTCCCCCCTGTCTGCGTCTGCGTCTTGTGTCTCTCTCCCATTGATCTGTGTCCTGTCCGGCGATCTGGTTGCCCCCATGGCCGACCTGTCGGGTGTCCTTTCCTCCCGCTCCTCAGCCGCACCTGTCGATGACAGCGCCTTGCCGATCACCTTCACACACAGCAGAGAAAGAGAGAGAAAGATGGAAGGAGCGTTTGTGTGTGGTTGGGAGGAAGGCGTTTCTGTCGTGTTGTGTTTGTTATGCTGTGCTGCTGGGTCTGTACCATTGGTGGAACTGCTGACGACACGGGGGAGTCGGACGGCATCGGGGGCAGGTCCTGAGACGCAGAGCAGATAGATGGACGCATGTGGCGAGTGCGACGTGTTTGTGGTGGTCTAGTCTGTATGTCTGTGTGTGTGTGGGCAGGTTTTCTTGCCTCCATGACAGTGAGGTGCACCTTTTCCTCGTCCCGCGCCGCATCCTTGGCCGTCCACTCCCACCTACACACACGAACACCGATATGCTGTCAGTCAGGAGTTTGCAGTGTGTCTGTGTGACCGACCAAGTGAGGTTTACAAGCTGGTCTCTTCTTGGTGGCGGCCCCAGGTAGCTCATCAACAGTATCTGATGGACGGACGGAAGGGGCAGGGGGAATGGACAAAACACCACACTGAATGGCTGCTCGTCAGCTCACCAGCGCCGCAGAGCCGACAAAATTGAAGGCCGCAAACACCTGAGGGATACAGAGAGGGAGGGAGGGAAACACACACACATACAACACATCGGACACATCCATGCCCCCGGTATTTGCCCTCTCTGGCCACACTCAGCGCACCAGGAAGTTGCTCTTCACAAAGACGCCGCCCAGCCTGCAGGTCAGCCGCTCGTGTACCAGCTGAACAACCGACGCACAGACACGTACCCACACACACGTCGGAGATACACTTCAGTAAAACCATAATCCCACCCTCTTTCCCTCCCTCCCTCTCCGCCTCACCTGGCAAGCTGACAGCCTCAGCAGCAGCCTGACGATGCCGAGGGCCTGTCCGATGATGAGGCCGCCCATCGCACCGATCTCGTTGGCTCGTGGGAAGAATATGCCCACCACAAAGAGGGCGCAGATGGGCGACGCTGTCAGCCCCTGCACACACATCGACACACGCACAAAAGCAAGCAGCAGTGGCCGGATGGCTGCACGAGTTGGGGTGGATGTTTGTATACCGCGATTGTCTGGACGGCAACGTACATGTTGGAGCTCAGCAGACGCATCAGAGGGATCCACACCACGCCAATCTGACGACATCCAAACACACACACAGAGAGAACTAAGACGACTGGATCGGTGGGCAATGTGACTCCCTTTCTTCCTGACCCACTCACCAGCCCCATGACGACTGTGGCCATCCGGCCGATCCACGTGAGCGCCCTCTCTGACGTGTTGGGTGCGAAGCTGCGCCAGATGTCCATCGTGAAGATGGTGGACGCGCTGTTGAATATGGCCCCCAGCACGGTCATGAGTGCACCGATCATGGCGGCGACTGTCATGCCCTTAAGGACGGTGGGCATGAGCTGATTGATCAGGACGGGGTACGCCCAGTTGGCCTGCTCACACGCGGGGCTCACGTCGCTGCACAGCAGAGCTCGGGGGTACAACACACGGGCGATCATCCCTGACACAACACACACACACACACACACACAGAAGAAACACATCCCTCCCTCTCCCTCTGTCTGTCTGTCTGTCTGTGCGAACCAGGTAGGATGAACAGCACAGGGGGGAAGAACTTCAGGAACCCCGCAGCAATGCACCCCAGCCTCCCGTGGCCCTCGTCCTTGGCCGCCAGGACCCGCTGGACCATTTCCTGGTCGGTGCAGTGGTAGAAGGTGGCCATGACGGGGAAGCCGAAGAGCAGCCCGTACCAGGGGTAGGGGAACTCGAAGTCCCACCCCTCGCCGCCCTGGAAGATCCTGAAGAACTTGTCGGGCAGGTGGGTCCGCAGTCCCGTCCAGCCGCCCACTTTGCTGAAGGCCAGGGAGGTCAGCGTCAGGCCGCTGATCAGCAAAAGGCCCGTTTGGATCACCTGCACACACACAGGATTGCGATGGCTGGCTGGCTGGCTGGATGGATGGATGGATGGATGGATGGAGCGTCTGTCTGTGTGTGGGGTGGGGTGGGAGGACAGATGAGTGGGAGTGCTGACCTCTGTGTAGATGACTGCGCCGAGCCCTCCGCAGAAGGTGTATGCCATGGTGAGGGCGACCAGCACTTTGAGAGCGTCGGACGGGTCGAGACCAAACACGACAGACAGCACCAACTCGCCGGCGAACAAGGCCTGTGTGCAGGTGGGTGGGGTGGGGTGGGAGGGGAATCAACACACACACACGAATGGACGCCTTGTCCGTGTGTGTGTGTGTGTGTGTGCGGTACCGACCATTGCGATCCTGACGATGTAGAGAAAGAGCGTTACAACCACAAGATAAAGCCGGCAGCTCCTGATACCAGACGACGCGGAGAGGGGGGGAGGAAAGGAAATTGACACACAGACTCACGCAGTAGCTCACTTGCCGAATCGTTTCTCGATGAACTCCGGCAAAGTGAAGGCCCCCGACCGCAGGTACATTGGATAAAACACATGGGCCAACAGGACGAACACGAACACGGCACCCCAATCGAACACTGCACACACACACACACACACACATCAATCAACACACAGAGAGAGAGACCAACAGGCAGGTCACAGACGGGCTTGCATACTTGCCACAGACATTCCAGCCTCCGCGCCGCCCCCTGAAGAGTATACGACAGACAGACAGGCAGACAGACAGACATCGATGCGCACATCCCGAGACCATCCCCGCACCTGATGTGCCGACAATGGCGTCTGATCCAATGTTTGACGAGAAGAAGGCACATCCCACCGCCCACCACCTGACACACACACAGCACACGACACACACCCTGCAATGACTGCTTGTGTCTGATCTCATGAATGGCCCATGCGTACGGTGTGCTCCTGTCGGCGAGGAAGTAGTGGTGCGAGGTGGAGTGGTGCGGCGCGTCGCTCCACTCCCACACGAGGAAGGCCAGGCCCAGCAGCAGAATCACCGCCACATAGGCGAACACGATGACGTAGTCGATGGTCTCCATAATGATCACTCACTGATGTGATTGATTGATTGACTGATGCGAACAACCGACAAACACTCAATGCCACACAGCAACAGATCTCGGGCCTTGTCCTCTCGATTGCGAGCTTATATCGTGGCTCGCAATGGTCGGCGAGAGCCATTCCCACACCAACGGCGACTCAGGCGTAGCACATTCATTTAACCATTTGATGGTTGAGTACTTTTTGCGTTGCCCAAGCCTCTGTCTCAGCCGCCGTATCAGCATCCGTCTCAGGACCACTCGGGGTGCTTATGCGCATGGACAGCTCGTGGCCGCCCTCACGCAGCTCTGAAGAATCGACACCGCCGTACTACAGCCCGGAGCCTCTCCCCACCACCACTCTGAGCGACGTTAACCAGCTCCCGAGCACCACTGTCATCCCAGGACCACCCTACTACTACATGAGTGTGTCACCTGTCGTCGCGGCGCCCCCTCCAGAGGGGCCGGACGGTCCCAGCCCCGCATCGCAGGCGGGCATGAGCAACATCGGCGCGAGTCCCAGTGGCGCTGGTGGCTCGTATATGGGGTATGCCGGCCACCCTGGGCCGCTGTATCAGTCGCAGCAGAGCGACGCCATGTCGGTTGATATGGACGGCGATGGGCGGTCGGATGCGCGCAGCGACATCGCACCGTCGGAGATGACGGCAGGCGGGCACTTTGCGCGGGCCGACTCGAGGGCGGATGCCGAGATCATGACGCAGCTGTGAGCTGGGAGGGGGGAGGGGAGGGGAGGAGGAGGGTCGTTTGGGTTGTTATACGCCTCTATGCCTTTCTGTGCTGTGCTGGGTTGTGTGATTGGTTTGATTGGTGTGATTGGTGTGGTTGGTTTGTCAAGTCACGAGAAGTTCATCACGGAGCAGAACGAGCCGTGGGACTACAACCCCGGCGGCAGGAGAGACCAGCACCAACAGCCCCTACTCAGATACGTACGCAGCCACCCCCCCCCCTCTAAACCCCTCCCACACACACCACACACATCCATCTCTCTCTCTCTCTCTCTGTGCGTCGGTCAGGGTCAGCAGGGCATCTCCCCCGACGCGTCCGCTCAGCGGCACCCCCGTCTGGGCGGCTACGTGCGTCAGGACCCCAGCCAGGACCCCCGGCTGGGGCGGAAGCGTCTGTTGGTGGACGTGCTCTTCACGATGGAGGACTGGTGGTGGTCGTGGGACAGCTTCAACGCCATGCGCAAGTGGATGTTCATCTATGAGACCGTCGAACACATTGACTTCATCGGAGGTGGGTGCCGCCGGAGGGAGAGGGGGGGAGAGGGAGAGGGACAGCGAGGCGAAAGGGTGATTGTGTGTGTGTTGTGTGGGTCAGACATGGTGTTTTTGATCCGTGTGGCCACGCCGCTGCTGCTGGGGTGGCGCAAGGCGGAAGACTACTACCTGGGAGTCATCGGTGAGCGAATGGGCTGATAGAATTGATATGCGTGGATGGGTGGATGGATGGGTGGATTGACGGATGGGACGATGCAGTGCTGCTGATGGCCATGCCGATCTTCATCTTCGCGTCGCTGGCGTACCTCATGCGGAGCAGCCTGTTCAAGCACCAACTGCCCAAAGAAGGTCAGTCAGTAGTACTGAAGGGACCAATGGATGGATGGATGGATGGATGGAGGGCAAGCACACACACACACACTCACAGAGAGAGAGAGAGAGAGTCTGGACATACACACACCATGTGTGTGGGGCTGTGTGCAGATTTCCCCGTCTTTGTGCCGGTCAAAATCCTGTTCTACATCATCAACTGCAGCGACATGGTGAGCCATCCCACCATCCAACCACACCCACACCAAGACACCCACACGTGGAAACCCACTTTATTATATATCGGCCCATCATATCTTTTGTTGGTGTGTTGATTGCGTTGGTTGCAGGCGATATTGCAGATGGCGAAGATGTACTACTCGTACTGTTTCCTGGTGCGGTGGCTGGAAGACATCCCCCAGCTGGTCCTCGCCATGCTCTTCATGACCCACTACGGAAGAGACTTCTCGGTCGGTCAGGGAGCCTCTTCCACACACACACACACACACACCTGGCTGACCCACTCTCACACGGACGGGTGCCTCCCTCTCCCCGTATCTGATGTGGCTGTGTGTGTGCGCTTGTCTGTCAGAGTCTGTTCACGACTTTCACGTCCGGGTGCTTTCTGGTGGTGACGACCCTGCGGCTGGTGCTGCGCTTTCCCTACACCGAAATGTGCTCGCAGAACTTCTCGCCTGTCATCGTCACGTAAGCACACACACACACGCAGGCAGACAGGCAGACAGACAGACAGACAACGAGCAAGACAGAGAGGGAGAGGGAGAGGGAGAGAGAGAGAGAGGTGTGTGTGGTGGTTGGGTGCAGTGATCTGCAGGGCGGCGGGCCGGCGGGCGCCAAGAACTTCCTCAATCTCTTCATCTCACTAGGTGGGTCGGCACGTGTGTGTGGGGCAGCTCACTCCCCCTGTCTCTCTCTCTCTCTCTCTGTGTGTGTGTGTGTGTGGTTGGTCATTACAGCTGCGGCGGCCTACAGCACGGCCGCCTTCAGCGCCCTGCAGTACGCCAGACACGAAGACGCTAAATCAGGCGGGGACAACACATGCACACACACAGAGGGGGGCGAGATGGGAGGAGGCCTTCACTTATGGTGTATGGTGTGTGTGCTTGCGCGTGTGTGCAGGCCTCATCACCTTTGCCATCTTCGCCCTCATCGCTGCCATCGGTAAGTTATCTAATTTATGCGTCTTAAGACAACAGACACAAGACGCACACACAGTCCATCCATCCGTCCATCCACCCTTCTCACCATCTCCCATCCGTCAGTCTCCTTTCTGTTGTGGAGCTGCTACGCCATCTACAATGCCGCCACCGCTGTCGACATGCCCTCTCGCGGAGACGCACAAGCCAAACAACGGGTCAGTCAGTCCGACAACAAACCAACCACACACACACCCTTCCCCCTCCCCCCTCCCCCCTCCGTCCACCAACCCACTGTCTCCGTCTCTTCAGGCCCAGCCGCCCGGCACGGGGGCATCTGCCGCAGCAGGAGCGACCAACGGCGCCTTCCCCTATGCCGTGGGCACGCTCAGTGCCGACAACGAGTCGTCAGTGGCCGACAGCCCCGCGGCTCGGCGCAGCGAACCGCCGCCGTCGGCAAAGGGCGGGGCGCTGGTCGGCGAGATGGAGATGGCGCAGATGAGGGACCTGGAGGCCGGCCAGGGCGGACAGGATGGGTGAGGCACACACGCACACAGAGAGAGGGAGAGAGAGGAACCGGCCGTTTCAATGCGTTGGTCGTCCTTGATTCCTCTGTGTGTGTGTGTATGTGTGTATCAGGCTAATGGTGCTCCCCAGCGGCAAGACCACAGCCGGCGGGGACCACCCCTCCCCCCGCCCCCTTCCCTCCACCCAGCTGCTCGACCCATCTGGTGCAGGGGGCATGCCCCTCACCCACCCCCGCACCACAGACGACATCGACGGCCGCCACCACGATGACAGCGAGACCGCCGCGCTGCTGTCGGGCCACAAGCGCGTGTCGTCGTGGGGCGGCAATCGGATGGACGAGGAAATGGGAATGGGCGGCGCGACGCCGAAGGGCGGTGAGGGTGTGGTGCCGAGGCCGGGTGCGTTGGAGCGGATGATTGAGGCGCGCAGGAATAGGACGGCGGGGCAGGGCCAGAACAATGGTGGCAAGAAAGGTGAGAGAGAGTTGAGGGAGGGAGGGAGGGAGGACGCTGGAATGGATGGATGGATGTGTGTCTTTGTGGTGTGTGTGGTGTGGTGCAGGAGGTGGTTAGATCGACTGATCGCAGAGAGAGAGAGAGGGGGGGGGGGGGTGGATGAGAGGCTGTTTTGCGGAGCGGAGCGGAGCGGGTCAAGCAAACGGACGGGTGGGCGGCTGGTTTTGAACTCACTCCCTCTGCTGGATGGATGGATGGATGAGTGGACGAATGGCGTGCGGACAATCGAATGGATGAATCAACGAACGAACGAAGGAAGCAACCATTCGTCCGTCCGTCCGTCAGAGGGTGTCTGGGATGTTCTCAATTCGTATGTCTTCCTGCCTGCCTGCCTGCCTGCCTGCTTGTCTGCGCGTTGACTGATTGATATGTGTAGTCGCCTCTCTGCACACCTGTGTGTGTGTGAGAGAAAAGACGACCTTTTGTAAGTTACTGGCCGTGCCGTGAGCCGCGAGGGAGAGGGGGAAGAGAGGGAGAGGGCGGTTTGTGACTGCTGTGTGGCGTGTTGTTGGTGCCTTCCTCTCCTTCTACTCCTCCTTCCCCCGCGTGTGTCGCGTGTGTGTGTTGACGACCTGGATGCATCACCTGACCTCCTGTGTGGTGTGGTGTGGATGGGTCAGTCAATCACTGCGTGCGGTGTATATTTTGTACATGGCTGGTTGCGATCTGGCCACCTGAGAGAGAGAGAGACAGCGAGAGAGGGGTGACCTCCTATCTGACGACTTCTGTGCCTCAATCCATCAAGGAACCATCCACCCTCCATCTGTCTGTCCATCTGTCCATCCATTCATTCCATAGGTCTTCGTTATTAAGGTTCAAAAACACTGAGGGCGGGCGACAGGCAGGCAGGCAGGCAGATAAGTGAGGGGGAGGGGGAAACACAACCCAACCCAGTCGTCGATTTGTCTAAACGCACTCACGCCCTTCCGTCCATCCATCCATCCATCGTCCACTCTCACACACACGTGTCCCTCCTAATCTCTCTCTCTCGGCGTGGGGCGTGTGGTGGTCGGCTGCATACATCTGTCGCTTCTGAGTCGACAGGGGCCGCCGACAGGACACTCACACTCTCACTCACCCACCCACAGGCACGTCGCCAGCCAGCCAGCCAGAAAATTCCCCATTGCCTTTTAGCAAGGGGTCTCTCGTCCGTCCATCCATCCATCCGTCCATATCCATCGTCTCGTTTATCTCCGCAAAACCCTCATTATTGACTTGACTCACAGCAAGCAATGAGGAACAGCCATCCACCCCGCCCAGGAAGGATACGCAGCCGTGGTTCATTCGGTCGTTGGTCAATCTGTGGCGCTTTCGCTTGAAAGAAAGAGAGTGACAGAGTAGGGGAGGGGAGGGAGTCGGTAGTGTGCAAGATAGATAGATATACAGCCGCCCGCCCGCCCGCCCGCCCGCCCATCCCCGATCCCGATCCCGATGGGTTTGTGTCTCGCTCAGACAGACGTGTAGACAGCCTCCCCCCTCCCCCCCTCCCCCCTCCCCTCCCTCGTCCGGAGCATTTGTCCGTGCCCCCTCTCTCTCTCTCATGTCGGTATGTCATACAGTCAATGCAATGCACGCAGCCACGCCACCCATCGCTCACACATACACATACACATACATACATACATGTATACACATACACATATATACATATACATATAGATCTGTGAATGTCCATGTTGTCTATTCATTGCAATATGTGTCTTCCTTTGCCAGATAGACGTCCATCTGGAGCACATCTCACTCACCTCATTCACCTCATTCTCACTCACTGACATCACACACATACACATACACACATAACATGTACACATGGACGGAATGGACGGAGAGGATCGGATCGAGGCGCATTGCGTTTATATGCGGCACATCCCCCCGCATGCACACATGCACAATCAAATCAATGTACACGCACAGCCATTCACACTCGTACACACATACAGGCAGGCAGGCACGAACCAGCGCACAGATACACGCATGTGCGAACATCCGTCCACCCAGCCCCTCCCCCCATCCCTCCAAAAAACAAAACGCACAGACACACCCACACCAACACGCCACCAGACGGACAGACAGACAGACAAGACAGAGCAGTCTCACACACACCTACCACACACACATATATGCCTTGGTTGGCTGTGGCATCTCTTTCGCCCGCCACGTCACTCTCACGTCCGTCACACAACCCAATCCAATCCAATCCAATCCAATCCAATCAACAAGGTAGGTAGGTAGGTAGCTGAGCCAAAGCCACTGACTCACTCAGTTGTCACTTCCATGCCATGCACACACACACACACACGCACTCCCATCCCACCCATCCAACCCAGGTGTGTGTGTGTGAAGAAAGATGTCGGCCACCTGCATCTGCAGCGCACGCAACCATCCAGCCCTTTAGAGTTGAAACCATCCAGCAGCTAGTCAGTCAGTCGCCTGTGTGTAGCGACCGAACCATCCCCCGCCACCTCTCCCCACACCTCTCTCTCCGAACCTCGTGTCGTTCGTCGCGTCTGCCTGTGCGTGTGCCTGCCTGCCTGCTGTGCGTCCGTGTGTGTGCATGTGTGAGCGTGTGTGTGCGTGTGTATATATGTGTGTGTCGATGGCAATTTGAGACACTTTGGTCCCGGGCAATGTCGCTCCGCCCCAGTTTTGGGCTAAGCTAACACGGGCAACCCATCCTTGCCGACACACACACACACACACAAAAAAGACACACGATACCCGACACACAGTGGCGGGATGAGTCGGTGAGGCGGGCAGCAGCAGAGACAGGGAGGGAGGGAGGGAGTGTGGGGCAACCCAGCAGACAGACAGACAGACAGACAGACAGAGGGGGTGAGGGTGAAACAAAGGGCAAAGAGAGAGAGCCGCCAGTCTGGTCTGCGTCGAGAGTGAATTGTGTTGTGTGTGTGTGGTGTGTGACGGACAGACGGGAGAGAAAGGATGAACC